TATATATATATATATATGGCATAGAAAAATGTTTAGTTATTAAAAATTCAAATACAAAAAAATAACATGATGGAAAATGCCTATAGGTAACCCCCAATATTAAGCAAATGTAAATACTTTGTTTAATTTCTTTCAAAGATTTTTGTAAATAAAATATTATGCATGCTATTAAAGCTTCATCTAGCATTCTTTCCTTTCCTCTTCCCAGAGATTACTGCCATCCTGAAGTCAATGAATATTTGTCTCATGAATATTTTTATACATTTTATTTATTGTGTATGCTCCAGTGGAAAATAAATGCTATTACTTTGCATTAACATTTGTAAATGATGTGAAATTATACTTTATGCTAGTGAAATTTAGCCATGTTTATTTTATGTAAAATCAGTTAATTTATGGTAACTGGCAAATTTGTTAGAACATTATAGTAATCACCGTTGAAGGAACAAATTACTGAATTAATCAATGTAAAGACTAAGTTACAGTAACTGATGGATCCCTGAATAAATGGTTTAAATACATAACAATACAGAGGTTACTGATGCCTGGAGTCCCTAGGTGAGTGAGTGGCCCATTATGGCCTGTTGTAATCATGGTATCTGTAACCATCCTTTTCATAATTTCTCCCATTATCACCATTTCAAAGATGCTGGAAAGTCCAGGACAAAAATTTTGCAAAATCACAACCTCTTACTCTAAAATATTATCTAGGTATATCCTATTTTCTTTGGGAGATTTAACCTAGTACATCCTAAAGAGAACAGGCCAGTTATCTGATAAGGCAGATAAAGGCTGACACAGAGTGATGTTAAGTCTGCAGTAACTCAACATTTGCAGTAACTCAAGTGTTGCACAAATAATTAATAACCAGAGGAAATACATCAGTGTTTCTCCACCTGCAGGTGAGACCCACAGGAACTGTATTAAAGTGCTGTGGCATTAGGAAGGTTGGGAACCACTGAAATACATTGTTAGGGGGACAGAAAAAAATAGTTCTATGGAAAATTAGTTGAATCACATAAGTAGAGGACTATGAGAATACCC